CAAATTCATACAATTTCCTATCAAGAACCCACTTCTCAATCATAAGCTAACAGCCATTCAAATTAAAGAAGTTTGCCCTTCTCAGAAAAAGAATGAAGGAAACTCAGAGCTGCTAACACTTTGATTTATTTTAACATTAAAATATTGAGAACATCAAATTTTAATATCTGTGCTGTCACTTTATTCATAAGGTAAGTACAGTTCTTACACTCAAGAGCTCAAAAATTATTTCACTTTTAGAAAGAAATTTATTGCACTCTATAGGAAGGTGTGCAATTCCTTCTTTCAGAGAACTTGTGGATTATCTTCTTGCAGAGCAGGCTGAACTTGTGATTCTTATTTGCTCTGGTTTTCTTTTTTTTTTTTTTGTTTGCATAAACAAACTCTAATTTATTTCTCCTTTTACTTTTTAGCAGCAGGGAACTGAATGCTTCTTTACTGCCTTGCTAATAATAATTAGAAATAGAACACCAATTCATGGAACAAAATAAAAATCAGCTAGAAATTCAGTGCAGACGTCATCAAAGTAAAAATGCATTTTCCTCATTATAATAATCAAAACTGTTCTCTTCTGTTCATATCCCTATATTCTACCTAGGGTCTCAATATCCATAGCTAGCACTTTTATTTGTAGACAAGAGCAATTTCTGGGCTTCAATAAGTTCCTGTGCTCCTAGTTTATAAGACTGCACAGAGCTCTTTCAAACAGATCAATCTCTCTCACTAGACAAGATCATCAAAGGATAATAAGGAGCAATATTATCATTATCTTTCAACAGCTGGGAAATTGCGATTATATTTGAGTATATAATTCATCAAGGCCTCTGTTGGGTCTTTTGTCATTCATACAAGAGGTCTTATATTGGAAAGGTAGCTACAAGTCCAAGTAACTGAACTTAAATTTACTCTGTAGAGGCTACTTATGCATGAGTACTGATGGTCTAATTAAGATCTAACATTATCTTGGAGACAGAGCATAGATTCATTTGGAAGCAGATAAATTAATTAGAAGTATTAAGTATGCTTTACTTACAATTTCTGCAGACTATGTTGCAGTCAGGAAAGCTGAGATTTTACTTGTCCTTTGTAATCTGGTTTATAGGATAACATTTGTCTAGGTCTGCAGCAGTGGTCCAATCTACTATGTTTCTTCATAAAATTCATCAAAGCAGTTAAATGGAACTTATAGCTTCTCAGTTAAAAACTGAAGAAGCAGCTGGGGCCTTTTTTGTGACACCAGGTAAGCCTGAAGAAGAGCCTGTCAAGAGGGAAAAATGCCTTAAAGAAGAAAAAAGTCAGAAAGATTGGGATGTATGCAGAGAGAAAAATGAGTCAGATTTACAGTGAAAGAAACAATGGGGTTGGCAGAACAAGGGAAGATATCAGGATATCTGAATAAACTGAAGTGATGCAACAGATCAGTTCCTGCACAGAAAACACAATTAATTTTTTCACTACTTAAAAATCAGACCCACTACAAATGTCTGCATACCAGACATTTAAGCTTGTCTACTTTTAGTTCCTAGGGGTGGAAGTACCAGCTGGATCCAATTCTCATTCCAGCTAATAGCTGGGCCATGGAGTGTTTTGAGGCAGATCTAAAATCCAGTAAGATAAAAATAGCTTAATATGTGCTGCTTTTAGAAGAACAACAGGGACATTTACATAGGAAGTTAGAAGAGCAAAATCAGAAAAGGAAATAATCCTATTAACCAGATAGGAACGACTGAGTGGGAGTTAATAGCTGTCAGATACAGAGTATCCATTTTGCATCTGCAAAGAAACTGAGGTTGCTATTTTTCCATAGTTAAAGAGCCAAATGTCAGAAATTTATAGGGAGAACCCATATCTATTTTGCACATATTCCTAATGCTAATGAGCAGAAGAATTATGTGTGTTTCTGTATGCATACTGTTCAAAATTCACTGCTGTTAAATTTAAAAGTCTTATGAAAGGGGATTTTGTCCATTTCCATGCTCCACCATTTTCTTTAATTGCAAATGTATAAGATAGGAGAAAAGCAGAAAATTCCTTTGGAATCCTCTGAGCTGAGGTATGGTATAATACCACACAGAAGCGTTAAATATAAGAAATTTATAAAGCAGATAACCTTTTCATTCAATTTACAAAAATTAAACAGTAGAGCAGTTATCCTTTTCTAGTCATAAAGATTACAATGCACATTATGTAATATTTTTTCTTTTCCAAATACCTTCTCTCCTTAAAAATGTGTTCACCTGTTTGCCTGGACCAACCATAAATTCTAGATTAATTTTTATTTAGAAATAAGACTGTAATTAAAAAGAACTGATAATTAGTATTTACCTCTTTTCTCTCACAGTGATGGATTGAGGGGTGGATAGGAAAATACATATTTGTATCTCTGTAAATAAAAATAATAGTGCCTGGATGATAGCTAGTGATAATATTTGTAAACCACATTGTGCTTTGCAGCTAAGACATCATTCTCCAGATGTACACAGACCTCAGAAAAAAGGTCTTAACAGCATTTCAGATCTCTGTTTGTTGATGGCAGCTGTGACAAAAGCAGACTTAGACTGCTGAGTGCTGTTCAAACCTTATCTACTTTGCAAGTCTTCATTTAGATAGTGTTTGGTACACTAGAAAGTATTTCCTTAACCTGAAGAAACCATCAGAATTGCTGCTATTACTAACTATAGAAGACTTTATATTACCAGAATTTAGGCGCTGAATGATGCATCTAGTAAAAGCAAAATGATGCATACACCTATTTTAAGAAAAATATTTGATGTTTACCTTGGAAGAATTCATATGGCATCCAAAGTCTTGCTGTGCAGCATCACAGGTAACTCTATTGTGACTCAACTCTATTGAGAGTATATTTAAGCACTTCCATTTAAAACTTCTTTTTTCACAGGTCCCTGGAGATCCCAGTTGGTTAGGGTTTTCTAGATGACACTGAATTCACCATGGAAGTACTGTACTTATCATAAAAAACTTAGTCAAGTAAATTTATAGACATATATCTGTGAGAGGAAATACTCATGGTAGAAGTGCCTTTTGATTAGAAAACATGTGCAGGAAGTCCGAATTTACCTCAGCTGCAGGCAATTTGAATCTGCTCTTTAGTTTTTTCATATGATGTCTTTATCATTAATCTTCAGCCTCTCATATCTTCTGCTGAATCTAGACCACCAGATGAAAGAAAAAGTGCAGCAAATCTGGTCACTAAATCTGATCTTGTTTATTGTGTTTTCTCTCTAAATTAAATATTTGCTGCACCAAGATCACAGACTAGGAAAAAGAAGCAAAAGAAAATCTAAACCCAGCAAAAAACCTAACGTAACTTAAGATCTCTGGTTTCCTTAGTTCTTGCTCCTGCATTGCATATTTCCCTGCTGCCACACCCTTGTCCTCAGCAGTAAGTAGATTACTAAGTACTCTCTTCTGATAATTTAAGTCTTTGCAATCTTTGCCTGAGTGATGTACTTTGATCTCTTGTTCCCTTCCCCTTTCCCTTCCCCAAAGAGGCACAGAGCTACAAAGGCAGGCAGTAGGAGAGGAGAAATGGAAATGGTAACCTCCAGTGTGAGAGTAGCTGTGGTGCCTAAGGACATCTCGATGGTGACATCCCTGTAACCTTGAGCAGCAGCTGCTGAGGTAGTTCACCTTCTTGTGTCCCAAGAAGGTAAATGGTCTTCATTTAGAAAGATCACCAAGGATTGTTAACATCCACTTACCAAGACTTCTTGTTCACTCTTATTTTATTGCTTGTGTAATGCTTTCTGCTAAGTCTTTGAAAGATGAGACTCTGGCATATGCTCCACTGAAGAGTTAAATGGAGTATAGAAGGACAAAGGAGGATTTCATAATATGGGCTATAGAATCTCCATGCACCATTACATTGCAACCCAAGCACAGGACTTATAGAATATATATCTAATTTGAGAGGCTGCCCTGTTAGCCTCTTATGTGTTTGCTCACTGTGGAGTGAAGGTATGCTGCTCTATTCTACCTGAAGTATTTAGGCTAAACCAAACCTTTGAGCATCTTAAAGTCCTGTCTAGCCAGAAAAAAGGTCATTTGTCAAGCTGCTTACACCTTCTGTATCAGAGTGACCATAAAACCCTTTGAGGCCATCACTATATATCTTGACATTTCTAAGTTCTACCACAATAAATAAAAGATCAAGGGTAGAAGTCTTCATTGGTAAAGTGCTTAAAGCCTGACAAGCTTACAAGAACTTGAGCAGACCCCGCTTCTTTGTTTTGACAAGGTTTTCCTCCAGGATGATCAATGAGAAAGCTACATTAAATGATGCTTCTTCTTTTCCACATTCATGTGTTTACTCTGTCAACCTGAGAGCATTGGAAAATCCTCTCCTCAGTTTGCCATTTTGCAAGTAATCTGGCAGTCAGATCTCCGCCAAAGATGGTCCTTGGCTTTACTATTTGTTTCAATAAAACTTATGTTTCGTTAAGTGAACCCAATGTGTAGAATAAAAACTTCAGAAAATTTACACTTGAGTTTTGCATTTTCAGATGTGAAGAAAGTCTGATGAGTTAGAGAACAGCTGAGAAGTCTTCCCAATTGTAGGAAGGTATTAAACAGGCAGGTCACAAATCCTTTTGTTCTTTTTCACAGGCACGCATTAAACAAGTTTTCAAAACTAATGGTGCAATTGTGCAGTGGTTGACATATTTCTCATATCTCATGAACTAGAAGTCAGCCAGCTGACTTCTGAAGCTTTCAAAACCATTCATCTATCATTCTGAGTATTGATCTTTGTGTATTATAGGGAGGTTTCCATCATGGAAATATAGCACAAAACATTATTTCAATTATTTGCCCTAAGCTACACCAACCTTTTAGTTTGTTGTTAGATTTCAAGGGTTGATGTATTAGTCAATCAGTTAAGATGGATCACCAGCATTTCCCTTCACAGTTCATTTCAGTTTTACCAGTGTTTGAGGATACAAACCAGAGTGAACACTAATGTGATATACTTTCTTTTACAGGCTGAAAACACAAGACAATATTGCTATCTTCATTCAATTCCTCTGGAAAGGATTGGAAAATAAATGTTGGAATAAGTCCTCCTGTGTCATGTGTTCCTTTGCTGGTGACTGAAGGACATTTTACATTTTGCACTTTTGCATTGACTCTGGCTACCAGCTATTCTATAATCTTCCAGTTGCAAGTTGCTGTTATATTGTCAGAATCAGTGAGTCTTCAGTAATGGCAAATTTTTGTTTGTAGCCATACTTGCAGGTATGTCCTGTAGGTAAAGTCTTCATGAGGATCTGGAGAAAAACTAAAACAAAGCTAAATGGGAAACTTCAAAATGGAATTTTTAGTGCCCGTGGAAGAAGAAGGAGTTGGTGTCTCCCTCCTGCTGTTCACTCCTGCCATTGAAATGGCCAGCTGGGCTGGTTTGGCAGAAATGTTTGTACTAGCTGCTATGTGGTGGGCTCAACTGGGGAAGGGAGAAGGTGGCAGATGGCCAAAAAAGAAAATGTCTGGGAAGCCGGTGGTGTCAGTTACCTGGGGTAGCTCAAGCAGTTTCACTGCTGAAGTTTTAGCCACAGACTTAGAGTTCAGCATTTAGGTTTTCTGGCAGATCAGGTTTCAGGTTTCCTTCACGACACAATCAGATACATCTGGGTCAGAGCCTGGAAACTGTTCCTGTCTGGGTCGGGTTTGACTTGGCTGTAGCTAAAACCACAGGAGCTCTTTCATAGAACCAAGTAATTGGAAAAGAGTCAGACTGAGGTTCAAATCTTGGCTAATCCTAAAGTGATGTTATCTTTAGTATAAGCTTATTTTTTGTGTTGCATTTTGCATGTGTCCCACTGATTATGGGGTTATACAAGAGGTAGTGTTAAAAGCAAAAATGTTCTCCTGCTATTTGCAAAATGCAAAAAACTATTCCAAAACCAAATCAGTTGCACTTGCAGTGCTAGTAGAAAAGGCAATCTGTGTAGCAGCATGCACAAGATAACTTACTGTCATTCTGTATAAACTTGGCAATTTACTTAAAAGAATGTAATTCAAACTATTCATTTAGTAAATACCACAGATTTCCATTGAATATCAGTGAGCTGATGAGCCTGATTTAGGTAGACATTATAATTAATTGTTCCAAAAACACCTCTGCTCTGCAGACTGCTCTGCAGAGGACTATAACCAAAAGGGCTATAACCAAATAATCAATTATCCAGTGGTTTTTATTTGAGATAGCTACTTTTATTTTTTATTGTCAGCCTTTCAGAAGTGTAAGAATCCATTTTAATGATCAGAAAATTGTATCCATGTTTATGGAGATATAGATACTTTAAAACAAGGACAAAATTCATGCCTGTTTCAAATGTATGTCATAGACTGACACATATAAGAAAAATACTCCATTTACTCTACTTTTTAAAGTTAATGATGTGTGTATATAATAACTTAAAATCTAATATCTTCAAGTGCTAGCTATGGATTTTCCAGAACAGCTGGATACAAGATGCATGCTAATTCAGAGAGCAGCTGGACTTTCCTCCGCTGTTGTGAATAGACGGGATTTGAATGGAAGGTTGTTACCTACTGCCAAGCATAATTTTCAAGTGTCGTGCTCTCCTGGGATGTTTTGATTGAATTAGGAGGTTTCAGCTAGTTCAGTGAGCGAGATGCAATGAGTAGCAAAATGTTCTGTTCTCCACGCATAATTGGACACAATATGTAGGTCTTTTGCTCATTTTTAAGTCTGCAAGTGTAAATTCCTAAAATATTATAAGGATTGTCTGAGATTTTAAAGTCATATTAGACATTTCCATACATTACAAAGGCATCCAAATATTGGACTGTCCCCACATACTACATTAGGTATTTTTCTAACCCCAAACTAGACTGTTTTTTCAAGGAAAAAAATTTTGTATGACAACAAAGCAAGAAATATATGTTACTTATAATGACTACAAGTGTCTGGAAGAAAACATTCTGTACTTTTAAATTCTTTTATTCTTGCCTTCCCTCTGTGCTGCAGGAATTCGCTATCTTTATTCTTGCCAGATTGCTTTATCCCCAGAGCAAGTATGACTTTATTATTCCAATTTTTACAAGTTTGAGTTCATATCATTTTTTGGACTGACATCTTTACCATTTCTGCTTCTGTTTACTCAGCATGAATATCTGGTATGTGCAGTAGTTCAGTTCAGCCTTATCAGACATGGGGTCCCATGGTAACAGTGGGGAATATCTTCATTATTAATAATATTATGAGTAGAGAATATGACTTATGGAAGCTGTGTCTATATATTTGTGGAGTTTCTCTAGTGTTATCTGTCCTCTGCTAATTAGAATTTAGCTGACAAATACACGGAGTAAAAAGGAGGAAGGACATTTTTGTTTTGACTGTTAATTACAGTGAACTCTTGTAATGTGCCTATACAGGACATTGCAGTACAGAAGAGATGCATACAAGCTCAGCTTTAAATTAATGTGCTAAGATAATAAAATGAATTTATCCAGTGAAATATAGAATTTCACATAAGATTCCCAAAGATGACGAACTGGGAAGGCTAAGAAAAGTGAAAAATTAATCTTACCAAAATTGAATAGATTCTGTGGGATATACTGGCTGATTTGCTGTCACACAGTGTTATTGTTGCTCTGTCTGCTCCATACCATCACAGCCTGGAGGAGAGTAAAATAAATCTTCTATGAATTCAATTGTACTGCTTTGCTATGGTACCAATCTACAGGAAGCTTGGAAATGGATTTAGTACATGCATTGAAATTTTTATCACCTTTCACATAACAGAAATCACTGGGAGTATTGAGAGCTCAGCTTCTCCTGGGCCAGTATCAAAAAGGAGCTGAAATTTCAGCTCAGATAGGCTTGAATTCACAGCACAAATATTCGGGGGTGAATTGCATGTGCTCCTGCCATGTGTTTTGCATGTAGCAATGTTTATGAGGGAGTGGAAAGTATTTTGTCAGTATTTTTGTTTTATTTGACTCCACTTTTGACTGTTATGTTACAGGAGAGAGAAATTAGATGTAACACATCTTTAGCCATGGGTAACATATCTTCAGACATGAAGGAATTCCTTCATGTCAATGCTGCATTTATACTACACTGTGCTCTTCTGGCCCATGGAGTGGAATATGTTTCACTTGTGTGTTGGGGCTCTGGCACCACTTGATGGAAAAATGGCCACATGTCAAGGCTGCAGGTGGAAAGGGTTGCTTTCAGCAACTCTTCTTGGAGGGAGAGCCCCTTGGGAAACTCTTCCTCATATGTTCCTTATTGGGGAGCTTCACTGCAGTGCTGGGACCTTTCTGCAGGTCCACAATTCAAGGCAGCCATGAAGTGGAGAAGCTGTCTGATGCATTTTGATACATGAGTGAGATGCTAGTGATGAGCAATTGTGAGGCAGAAGTCAGCTGAGGGTTTTGTTTCAGTGAAAGAGGCTTTCTAGGCCTGAAATATCAAACAAAAAGAGTTTCCACCAACAGACTAAGTAGTTGTAGTTTTTTAAAGATGTGTATAATTTTTTAAGAAAACTGGAGACAGTCGGAGTGATTGTAACTGTTTTTCATTAGTGTCTTTTTCTGAACAGAGTTCTAAGTTCTGTTACACATTTTTTTTTTCCATTGAGGCACTTAATATTTGCCTAGAAGAAGCTTCTGTATCTGAACTAAGGAGAGAAAGTGGGTTTCCACTATTGATTTATGTCTATCCTGAAGAAACAGCCACAGAGGCACACCAAAAGATATTCACATCCTGAATCTGGTATGAAGTTTGGAAAGTAACCTTACAGACAAACTCACAAACTCTGAGCCACAGCATGTGCTGCTGGCATTTATAAAAAAAAGTCTATGTCAAATAATAAATAAGTCCAGCAAAACAAAAAGAACAGGATTGAAGAAGACATCAAGAAAAGATACAGCACAACTTGTTGATGGCATCAATTTGTAGAGATGTTCCCACCATTAGGCTCTGAGGCTGCCCAGGGAAGCAGTTTCTTTTTCCAGTACCCAGAGGATCTCAGCAGGGAATGAAAACAGTTGTTTCTCATCTATTCCTGGTAAAATTTCAGAATGTTTGGTCCCCTTGGTTAAATGAATCCTAGAGCTAATGCTCATAATTTCCATCCTTTTTTAAAAGAAAATCTTTTCGGTATCTCTCCAGCTAAAATGAATTTATGCTCAGCATGAATACTCTTCCCTGCCCCTTACATCAGTGGGAGCAGGAGCAGAGCTTGTTTTGGAACCAGTGGAAATATTGGCAGGGACCTTGGAATTTGTGCATAGCTTTGAATCCTACAGGCAAATAATAGCATGCAGCAGAAACACCTACTGAACTGGGGTAGTGGGTTGACATTGGCCCAATTCCTGGCACTCACCAAAGCATTTCACTCATTCCCCTCTGCAAACTGGACAGAGGAGAGAAAATTTAAGGGTTCATGAGCTAAGATAAGGACAGGGAGAGATTGCTCATCAAATACCATTATGGGCAAAACAGGCTCCTACTCAGAAATGTGGAGTGGATTTATTACTAACAGCATCAGAGCAGGATAATGAGAAATAAAATAAGCCCTTAGGAACACCTTCCCCCTCCCCTCCCTACTTCCCAGCTCTACTGCCTACTTCCCAGCAGTGCAGGAACAGGGAATGGGGGTTATGGTCAGTTCATCACCTGTGGTTTCTCCTGCTGCTCAGGGACAGGAGTCATTCCCCTGCTCCACCATGGGGTCCCTCTCATGGAAGACAGTTCTCTGTGAATTCTGCAATGTGGCTCCATCTCACAAGCAGCAGTTCCCTGAACCCACTTAATATGACTCCATCCCATGGGCAAGAGCTCTCCCCAGACTGCTGCAGTCACTCTTCCACAGGGTGCAGGACAGGCTGCTCCAGCCTGGACTCCTCTCTCCATGGGCTCCCACAGGTTCACAACCTCCTCTCAGGCATCCCCCCACTCCAGTGTGGCTCCTCCCTGGGCTGCAGGTGGATCTCTGCATCCCCCATGGACCCCGATGGGCTGCAGGGACACAGCTGCTCACCATGGGCTGCACGTGGGCTGCAGGGGAATCCCAGCTCCAGCCCCTGG